GAAACCTGAAATGACTAAATTATTGTTGCTTCCGTTTTAGTTCACTACAGGGGAGATCAAGGCATGGATGGGGGAGAAGGTGAGCAATGGGCTACAGATATGGTGACAGCCACTGGATCACATTTACTTTCAAGCTAGGAGTCAGCAAAACCAGCTAGGAGTCAGCTACTGCAGCCATCAACTTGTGATTCTCGGTTCACTCTTTGGATGTACTTAGTATGTTCAAAGAGCTGAACTGGATAAGCACCCCATCCATTGGAAATCTGCCTGGGTTTTCAAACACCACAATCGCAGTGCAGCCTATACCTGTGTTCAAGCACAGAGGTGTGCTACTGCAGCTGCTCCATTTCTTTCCACAGCTAATAATGTGCTGTGAGTCACCCTGGAAACACCCCTCTTCCCTAACTGTCACATTGGATTATAATTATAAAACATTAAAACAGCACAAAAAGAATTTAAAATAAATACCACTGCAAAAAAAGTATATATATATATATATCAAATTATAAGTCCCACTCCAAATTGGTGAAAACATTATTATATAAAAAAAATCTAAATAAAAAAAAATATAAATATTCTTGAAAGTCCTCTTCCCAAAGAAATAAATCGTGCTTCCACCAAAAATAGTGCTCAGAAAATTATACCGCACTCACCAAATATTGGTGAAAAAAACGCCTTTTAGGGATTTTTGGGGATCCTAGACCCAGTCAGTGTGCCTCCAGATATTCCAAACCAGAATATAGCTAGCCTCCAACCTCCAGGATCACCAGACACCACTCTCCAAGAAAAAGCTCAGAATAATGTAGGGAAAAAAACATATATATATAGCGTAAAACTGCATCACTTGGTTATATTCAATTTTCAAGTACCAAGCCACTCACATTCTTAATGATCAAAATTAGCATTTTATTGCATTTAAATGAATCCTAAAAGCCACATCACCAGGGAAATTTCCTGAGATCCCACGGTCAGCAACAGATGACAGCACAGAGAATCTCCCATACACAAGATGGCCCCCGGGAACGTTCCACTCACCGGAACTGACATATTACGTATGGCAGCAGAGCCGGAAATGCGTCAACGCGTTTCACCCCTCCGCCAGAGCGTTATCACAGACAACACCATTCCAGTCAAGCGCCGTATATATGCTGAATGCAGGATCCTCCCCTCTATATCTGATAGGCTACATGTGCTGTTTTAATGTTTTTTATTTATTTTTTTAGTGTGGGTTTGCAATGATGAGCAGCAGCATTTATTTGTATATTTAGTATTAATTTGTATGAATTTTGGCTCTGGTGATTTATGTTTAAAACATTGGATTATAAAGCTAGCACAGCAGAAGGGCCAGGGGCCCCCGTTGCCCACCACTGCCCCTACAGTATATCATGCAGTGGGAGGCGGGCCTGACACCAGCAAAAGAATGCATCTGTGTCTAGCGCACTGTGTTTTTGACTTTGGCCAGTTGGATCAGCGGTTCCCACTCCAGAAGTCATGGCATCAGAGGTTATGTGTGGTCATGTGTGCTCATCTTTACATTCCTGCTCCCAGTCATAGCTTGTCTTCTTGTGGGTGACCCCCCATCTCTCAGTTCTCTCCCACCTTTGTTTATCCCTTTCCACTCTTGTTCCCCCCTCCGCTCTCTTGCCAACGATGGGACTTCTTTTATTCCCACTAATACAACAATGGGACTTATCCCACTGACACCAATGATGGGATTCATTTTATTTCAGCTGATTCTAGTGAGGGGTACTTTATCCCACTGACATAAATGATTGAATTTATTTTAATACCACTGACACCAATGATGGAAATTATTTTATTCTCATTCACACCAATGATGGGACTTATTTTATTCTCACTGACACCAGTGATGGGACTTATTTTGTTCTAATTGACACCAGTGTTCAATGTATCAATGATTTGACTTATTTTATTCCCATTGACACAACAATGGGACTTATCCCACTGACACCAATGACGGGATTCATTTTGTTTCAACTGACACTAGTAAAGTTTTTTTTTTATATTTTGCCACTGACATCAATCATGAAGTGTACTTTATCCCACTGACAATGATCACATTTATTTTAATACCACTGACACCAATAATGGGACTTATTTTAATCTCATTGACACCAATGATGGGACTTATTTATCCCACTAACACAGTGATGGAATTTATTTTATTTTCACTGACACCATTGATGGGATTTTTTTTATTCCTTCTCTATTTCTCTTCAGTGTACCTACAGGCCCTCTTGACAGCATGCTTTGCACTCCTAATTTTTTTTGTCAAGCCCTTTGAGGTGTCATTCTTAATTATTTTCAAGTGTTTGAAGCTATGCTAGGGGATATATCTTTAACATTTAACATTTTCCTCCTGCAGCTGCTTAATGCCTGTGGGAGGAAGAGAAGCCAGCCTATAGTGGTTGCAAGGGGAAAATGGAGAGGATTGGTTCCTGTATATACTGCCACTCCTGTCCAAGTGTAAAACAGAATGTGACAGGAAGGCACCGGCCCCCTGGAGCATGGGATTGAGTTGCCTTTGACTCTGACTCTACACAAGTGGTTGGAGTAGTGGGAGGGGCGGACTGACAACTCATGGGGCCCCCGGGCAATAGGGGATCATGGGGCCCCTGTGTCCTTGCCCAAACTCAAAAAAGCCTATGAAAAAGGTACCAGGGGCATCTCTTGGGGCCCCCTACAGACCTCGGGCCCTCGGGCAGTGCCCGAGTTTCTAAATGGTCAGTCCGCCCCTGGGTAGTGGTAAAAACACATTTCAACTATGGGGTTTTACCACCCCCCAAACTGCAAATGTAAACACACCCTTACAGTCCTGAACACCCTAAAAGGCTGCTTTCATGCTGATGCGCTGCAGTGTACATGTGCTTTACCATAGCTGCTGACATGGGGAGTTTGCCAAGTTTATTTCAAGTTTTTTCACTATTGTATTTCAGTGGCCCACAGGTACATGTCACATTTGAATTTGTTTTTTCACTGAGCAGCTCGCAAGCTGTATACATTCTTTTAGGTAGGCTCCCCTCCCTGGGGCCCTTCCCCAGACTCTACACTCCAGCTTTCTCTCAATCCATATTCCACCCGACTCCTCTTGCTCCCCAGGCTCTGTCATATTTGAGGGTTACACTGGTCACCATGCACAGTCTCATGCTAGGGGACTGGCCAGGGCCCCTCAAATATGCAGAAGAGAGTGAAGGGTCCAAGAATCCATAACACACAGGTAAGTGTACAGTGTAGAACTAAAAATGACCCTCCTATTCAAAATAAAATAGATAAAGTAAAATTGCCTATATTCCCCACATTACAGATACTGTGTTCCACAACAGCCCCGATTCCCAACCTTGTACAGATTTCCCCCCACATCCCTAAAACCCCCAAGTATAGACCTTCCTTTTAGCCCACCCCCTCAGTACAGACCCCCTTCCCAACACCTTCTTAGTACAGACCCCCAATTTTGCCCATCCACTCATTACATACTGATCCAGTACAGTACCTCCCTCCCAGCCCCTTTTTCAGTACAAACCCCTCCAGTACAGACCAACATCCCTGTCCCTTCTTAATACAGACCATCCCCTCATTACAGACCCCCAGCCTACCCCACAGTAAAGACCCCCTCCTCCAGTACAGATGCCTTCTCCACTCAAAGTCACTCACCAGATGCTAGAAACCTGACATGCAATTTCAAAGGAAGGCTTCCCCTCAGCCATGGATGTGATAGTAGCCAAGGAATACCCTTGCTTGGCTTTGCACAAGAATAAGCTGCTACATACAGTTTATACAGCACTGACAGCAAGCACACCTGTTAGTAAGGGGAATAGTTTATTTAGATCAGCTTAAAGTCACGGTGGACAAGGAGCTATACTTAAAGTTTATGTCCCTACAGTAAAGGGCACCTGATACTTTGACCACTAGCAGAAAGGTACAGGTTCAGTTTAAAACTAGTGGGTTAGCATAACAGCATGGTTATTAGCATTTTCAGGAGGCTAACAATGGTAGTTACAATTTTTCTCCTACAGCATTTTTTAAATTTGCAATTTACTTTTACCTTACTTGCAAATTAAAAAAAAGCCAGGAGATGGCGCTAAACTGTCACAATGAAACCGTGAAGGTACTGTCATTGCAGAAACATCATCCTTCTCTATCATAGCCTGCTTTATTACCAAGAAAACGCCTTTTCTTATTTCCACCAGGGTGTAGTAATTTTATAAACTTGATTAAATGCTCAAATATCTGAATATGCGAGGTTCTATTATTATTTTTGCTATTAATTTATAGTGTAGAAAAAAAAAAATCACATTTCTTTTCATAATACACAGAACGTTTTACTTTAGTCCTTAGTAGGAATGTGGGTCAGGTTTTCTGCTATCGTAAGTTCAAGGTGAATCCCATGATTTTTGTGTGCAGGTCCGCCCAGGACCATGGTAATTCAAGTAAACCAGCACAATTTCTATGTAGCCTCCCTAGCGGTATGATTATGACAGTATTTCTGTGCTCAAAGCGGTACATTTTATTGCATGGAAATATGTATTTTTTTTATTGTAGGCCTGTAATTTTTAGGAATAACTCACTGAAATCTGTCCGAACAAGAGTCTAGTAAACATCCCGGGTATGATAAAATTTGAAACACGAAATCATAAATTATAATTTAATAAATAATCATAAAAAATAATAATATAATAATAAATTTTAATTCAATAATGTAATCAAACCAAAAACACTGAAATTTGAAATATAGCGCCAAGTTCACACATCACTGAGCAAAGTTGCAAAATCATTTTCAGTGTCTGATGACGAATTTCCCCGCGAATCATTATCACTCAATGCTGCAAGTGGTTCTGATTTACTATCACTGTTCTCTAGCTGGTCTAAACCACTTTTGACCTAAAGGGACGCTTTTTGGACGCCATGGACGTTTCTCAGTTTCCAGGCAGAAAGAACAGTATAAATGCAGGCAGGGCACAGGATAAAGCACTCGGGACAAAATGTATGTGGAATGCTTTGAAACAGTAATGTTTTACTATGTGATTTTAGTGTATTTAGTGAATGTCACTTTTTCACATTTTTAAATTTACGGGGACAAATTACTGTTGTCCCTGTACGTCCTGACGTTGCAGGGAACGGAACCCAGAAGACGGATGCCGGCATCGGCTGGAGGACATTGCCTGGGACACTGCAGGAGGGACATCGTGGGAGCGAAGGACAAGGTAAGTGAAGAAGAGATCCTGGAGCAGCGCTGCAGGGTATTCCCGAGTGTAGCTCGGGGTTACCACTTGTGGTGCTGAAACTTTACCCCGAGCTACACTCGGGAATACCGCCAGGGAGGTTAAGGGAAGTGAAGCAGGATTCCTATCTATGCATCTACAGTCAGGTCCATAAATATTGGGACATCGACACAATTCTAACATTTTTGGCTCTATACACCACCACAATGGATTTGAAATTAAACGAACAAGATGTGCTTTAACCGCAAACTGTCAGCTTTAATTTGAGGGTATATACATCCAAATCAGATGAACGGTGTAGGAATTACAACAGTTTGCATATGTGCCTTCCACTTGTTAAGGGGCCAAAAGTAATGGGACAATTGGCTTCTCAGCTGTTCCATGGCCAGGTGTGTGTTATTCCCTCATTATCCCAATTACAATGAGCAGATAAAAGGTCCAGAGTTCATTTCGGGTATGCTATTTGCATTTGGAATCTGTTGCTGTCAACTCTCAAGATGAGATCCAAAGAGCTGTCACTATGAGTGAAGCAAGCCATCATTCGGCTGAAAAAATAAAACAAACCCATCAGAGAGATAGCAAAAACATTAGGCGTGGCCAAAACAACTGTTTAGAACATTCTTAAAAAGAAGGAACGCACCGGTGAGCTCAGCAACACCAAAAGACCCGGAAGACCACGGAAAACAACTGCGGTGGATGACCGAAGAATTCTTTCCCTGGTGAAGAAAACACCCTTCACAACAGTTGGCCAGATCAAGAACACTCTCCAGGAGGTAGGTGTATGTGTGTCAAAGTCAACAATCAAGAGAAGACTTCACCAGAGTGAATACAGAGGGTTCACCACAAGATGTAAACCATTGGTGAGCCTCAAAAACAGGAAGGCCAGATTAGAGTTTGCCAAACGACATCTAAAAAAGCCTTCACAGTTCTGGAACAACATCCTATGGACAGATGAGAACAAGATCAACTTGTACCAGAGGGAAGGGAAGAGAAGAGTATGGAGAAGGAAAGGAACTGCTCATGATCCTAAGCATACCACCTCATCAGTGAAGCATGGTGGTGGTAGTGTCATGGCGTGGGCATGTATGGCTGCCAATGGAACTGGTTCTCTTGTATTTATTGATGATGTGACTGCTGACAAAAGCAGCAGGATGAATTCTGAAGTGTTTCGGGCAATATTATCTGCTCATATTCAGCCAAATGCTTCAGAACACATTGGACTTCGCTTCACAGTGCAGATGGACAATGACCCAAAGCATACTGCAAAAGCAACCAAAGAGTTTTTTAAGGGAAAGAAGTGGAATGTTATGCAATGGCCAAGTCAATCACCTGACCTGAATCCGATTGAGCATGCATTTCACTTGCTGAAGACAAAACTGAAGGGAAAATGCCCCAAGAACAAGCAGGAACTGAAGACAGTTGCAGTAGTGGCCTGGCAGAGCATCACCAGGGATGAACCCAGCGTCTGGTGATGTCTATGCGTTCCAGACTTCAGGCTGTAATTGACTGCAAATGATTTGCAACCAAGTATTAAAAAGTGAAAGTTTGATTTATGATTATTATTCTGTCCCATTACTTTTGGTCCCTTAACAAGTGGGAGGCGCATATGCAAACTGTTGTAATTCCTACACCGTTCACCTGATTTGGATATAAATACCCTCAAATTAAAGCTGTCAGTCTGCAGTTAAAGCAGATCTTGTTTGTTTCATTTCAAATCCATTGTGGTGGTGTATAGAGCCAAAAATGTTAGAATTGTGTCGATGTCCCAATATTTATGGACCTGACTGTATGTTTGTGTTGCTTACAGGTGCCAGTGATAGATTTTCTAGCCCTGAATGACAGCGTATTGCTCTCTTAAAGCGTTAATAAAACGCACTAAGAAGGTCAAGGTCATGTCATAATGTGCTAGTATGCATCACATATTAGCACATTATGAAGGACTTACCTTAAAATGATGTCACCGCTGCAGAGGCTTCCATCTTCACCCAGTCTTCCCTCTGGGTTTGCGAGTTCCGGCCATCTGAGTGGTAAAGCTGCGCTGACGTCACTCCCGTGCATGCCATTTCTTCAGAGCGCATGCACTGGCTGTCAAAAGGAGTGAATATCTCCTAAATGGTACACGTTTAGGAGATATTCATTTTACCTACAGATAAGCTTTATTATACGCTTACCTGTAGGTAAAAATAAAAATCTGGAGTTTACTACCACTTTAAAGGTGGAGCTGTGGACAATGGCTATCCATAGAGCAAGCAGCATCTGATATTCTGCTAACATCTGTACCATGATGTCCTCATACCTCTCACCTGCCATAAAGGCCCAACCTACTATCCTAAGCTATTGGCAGAAAACGATTTTAAAGAAGCAACTTTTCTCCATTGCCATCTGACACTATACAGCTCTAGGGAGGTGATCAATAATGATTGCTTATTACAGTGATGATCGCTGTCTAAGAAATAATTTTACACTGTGAATGGCATCCATTCCTGTGCCATTGTGTACTATTGTGATAGCTCTGACTGGCGCAGCTATCACTTGGTACATGTCTGCTGTGGTTGGCTCTGTACTATGTGATTACTGCGACCAATCACAGTGATCACAATAGTACACAATGGCTATGAATGACAAGCCATTGTTTGTTTACAACTGACATGGGATTGCTTTGATTAGTCACAGCAATCACATGGTACCAGGGCCACGACACAGCAGGTCACATGGCGCGCAAGTGGGAGGACATCATATAATGTCCAACCAGAATAACAGAGCACATGCCAGGTCATATAATTACAATAGGCCAAAGTGGGTGGGAAGTGGTTAAAGAGAGTGATTTCTCCCGCACCACATAGCTGCACACACAGAGGACATGCAGCCCAACACATTATGCAACAATTTCAGGTTTCTGTGTAGTTAAAGTGGTTCTAAAGGCAGGAAGTGGTTTGTTTTGTTTTTTACTTTAATCCATTCTGTGCATTAGTGTAAAAAATCTTCGTAACCTCCTAGCCCCCCCCCCCCCCCCCATGCTTACCTGAGACTGACCTTGATCAAGCAGCTCGCTCTCTCTTTCTTGGCTTAGAGGCAGCAGTAGGAGTCAATCACAGCCAATGGGGAGGGAGCTGAGCTGAGCCACATGCTGTGTGCCAATAGACACACAGAGCAGGGCTCAGGAGTGATTCCGTGCACGTGCATCCATAGCAAGAGGCTTGCTATGGGGTCACCTGGCAGGGGGGAGGAGCCAGGAGCACTTGCAGGGGAACTCAGAAGAGGAGGATCAGGGCTGCTGTGTGCAAACCCATTGCACAGAGCTTGTAAGTATAATGTTTGTCATTTTAAAATAATAAAACTTAATCCATTACAATCACTTTAACAATCTACAATCAATGGTGAATTTCAGGTACTAACATATACAGCACACACTATGATTCTTCAAGCAGACAGGTAAACTCAAGCCTTCCTCGCTTTATGTAGATTCTCTCCCACCTCATGCTGTGTCATGGAAACAAAAAATCAGTGGTAATCCTCTCAACAGACTCAGGCACAGAGGATTTATTTACACAGTGGTGGCCTGAGAACTGTAAAAAAAGGTGATTGAGCCACGGTTTTACCTTCCCCTGACCTCCCAAGCACAAGTTAACATGCCCCCCCCCCCCAGTCATATTAGTACTTACTGCCGTGGTTGTGGTGAGGCACAACAAAATTTATACCAAAGGTATTCAAATGAATGGGGTCATGCTGCAACTGTCATGCGGCTATGTGCAATGCATGCAGTTGGGGTGCTACAGGCTTTAAAGGGTCAAAACAGGCATCCAGAAGTTGATATATTGCAGTGATAACAGCTGCAAGCATATGACAGTGGTTCTATCTCTACCCCACTCTATCCAAAAACAAACATATTTCATTAAGCGTAGTGCAAATTTACTTCATATAAATGGAAAGTCACTACATATTTTTTCATACACGACCATTTTTAATAAGACCCCTTTCCATTAAATATATTACCGCTCATAGGGGAAACACTACAAAACAACCCCTATGGTAAAAAAAAAACTAAGATACTAAAGAAGAAAAAACAAAGAAAAAAGAAAATCAAGATAAACAATAATTGAAGCATGATGCAGCGTGTAGGGGAAAGCTTTTACTTATAGATCATGTTTAGGTTTACAAGATGTAAAGCCCTCCAAGAACGGTGTGAAACTAATTAGCTTAAAACATGAATCTAATTTCTTTTTGGAGCAGAATTTAATTCCAATCGCCTCCTCTTACACTTGGGTGTCCACTTTAGGACCAGGCCTTTACTGGCACTTTTTTGTTTACAAGTATTTTTTTCTAGAAAATTACTTAGAACCCCAAAACATTATTTATATATATATATATTTAAAGCAGAGGCCCAAGAGCAGTGTTTCTTAACCTTTTTTCAGTCAAAGCCCCCGTTAAACCTATGGACAGTCCCAAGGCACCCTTTAAAATTATGGACAGTCTTGAGTCACCCCATTCTAAAATAGGGTGCCTCTAGTCTAGACTGTCTATAATTTTAAAAGGGTACCCCTTTCTAAAATGTGAAAAGCTATTCTACTAGTTTTATATAACGCAGCAACATCAACACATGTAGGACACCCAACGTTAGAGGTGATTTATTTTTCCAAAGCAAATACACCTTTGCACACTGGTACTAACTAGTATTCCATTGTTTCTTTTCTCCCTCAGTTTTTCTCCATCAGCTAATGTGAACCCAGGACTGATGGAGAGGAGCATGGGAGGGTCAAACTAGGATGCTGTGCAGACAGCTGACATCCTATCAACTGATGATGTCACTGGTTGTCAGGATGCCAGCGGCTAGAAAGTTGTAATGGTGCACAATGAAAACCTGTGGCTTTGTGTAACTAAAAAGCAGGCTTGTTCCATCCGCTGGCTTGTATACAAGTTTTGGGCAATTTTTTAGACATTTTGCCAAAGCACCCCTGAAGAAATCTCAGGGCACCCTGGTTGAGAAAGACTGCCCTAGAGAATAAATTGGTGGGTTTTGCAATTTTTTATGTCACAAGGTATTTGCACAGTGGTTTTTCAAAAAAAATGTTTTGGGCAAAAATACACTTTTTGAATCTTAATGCAAAAAAAA